AGAGCATGAATGCTGCTGCGATTCACTGCAAAATCGTTTCAGTTTATGGAGAGGACGTTATGTCAAGACAGCATGTGACAAAATGGGTACGGAATATATTGTGAGACCATGAAGAAACTTCACAGAGCCATCTAAAACAAATGTTGTGGGATGCTGATGACAGGAGTCTGTCTCATTCATGACAATGCATATCCACACACTGCTCAAGCAACACAAGAATGGTTGACTTCATTTGGTTGGGATGTTTTAAGCCACCCCTCTCACAGCCTCAATCTCACACCCAGTGACTATAATCTGTTCACTAAATTGAAGGAACATCTTGGTGGAAAACACTTTTCTGACGATGATGAGGTGAAAATCAAAGTGACGGACTGGCTGAAAAAGGTGGAGGGAAACTTCTATGACACAGGCATCAAAAACTTGTCCCATGAAGGACAAAATATATTGAACTGAATTATATGGGGAAATAATGTAATATCTAAGCTACAAACCATGTAAGGTTTATTAAAATATATTCATTCTTTGTATTATTAAAAAATCTTGTAACCTTACTTTCCGGATAACCCTTGTACCTCCAGTATTGAGCATAGTTTATATCTTTTATGGAATACCATAAGCACACTTGCTCAGAACGAGGAACGTTTCACACTGCACAATTATACTATTGAGACCCTACCTACATTTCCATATAATTTTAAAGTGCATTATATGGTCAGTGTGGACTCATATAATGTAATTTAACTCTTATATGGCATCTCTTGGGGGTGCTTTGTGCTTTTCCTGCATGGCAGGGGGATAGACTGGATGAAATCTCCTCCAACTCTATGATCCTTTAATTCTAAGATGGGACCTGTGATACCACTTTACCTGCCATGGCTGCATCCTATAGGGTTTGATAAGACATTAGAGCTCTCTGGTTGAGAATCCTCAAAAACCCTTTCCAAATGACAAATCCCAGATTTTTTCCATAGGGCAGTGAGTGCAATCATAGTTCTGTAATTGTGTAAGCCATTAAAAAGTTGTAATGACCTCATCACATTGGGCTAAAATTGGCAACATGTGCCAATTTTATCCCAGGTCACCCATGGAGCCACCCGGCTCCCATCACATGTTGTGCTGGCTTCATGGGTGAAGCAGGGTGGAGCTGGCGCATGCCACTGGTAGGGCAACACAGGAGAGCTCCCATGTTGCCATGCAGTCTAAGGGTTGAAGCTGTGCACACCACGTGTGCTGATGCCCTCCCTTGGATCTGGGTGATGCGGAGTTTGGGGTGCTGGATTCCCCATGCACCGCGGCGAAGCAGAGCTCTGCCTCCACTGGCCACTGGAGGTAGGATGAGGTGGCAAGTCACAATAAGTCCCCTGTCTGTGGAATGACCCTTGACTGATCCACGGGTCATATTAAAATCCATAATACTAACCCTCAAATCTGCCCTCAACTTATACATAAGGTTGACTTACAGATGAGTATAAACTGCAGCCTTAGGGTGCAATATTTATATGTCTATAAGTTCAAATATATGATTTATTTCCAGGTAAGTGTATATAGAATTACAATCTTGGTATATTTAAGAAAATGTAGTTGTGTGGTACCCTGAAGGCTAACCAATTTATTACAATGTAACCTCTACTGACCAGAACAGTTTCAAATACATGAAGTGTTCTCTTTTGTTGGCAGGTGTGATGTATGTATAAAAACAGTAGAGGCACAAGGTCATGAAATGTAAGAAATGTATAGCCTATGATACTGCTATGTAAAGTGAAAATAAACACAAGATAAACACAACTGTCATTCTGCCTGTCTGCAAAATATGTAAGGACCTGTTTTTAATCTCTGTAACATGATCAGTGGAAGTGAGGTAAAGGAGAACAGACTTCCTGGGGATAAACTTCCAACCTTACTCTTGACAGAGCTTTCATTTTTGTTTCCTGTAGCGCTTTTGTTTTAGGTCCAGTTGTTGCTGAAGTTTTTTGTTTGATAATTAAACAATTCTTGTGATTTGCATTTATGCTTTGATGTTAAAAATTTTTAATGTATCTTATACTTTGATGATCCAAATCCATCAATAGCTTTTTTTTTTAAACTCTCTTTCTCTTTGTGTACATCTGCACTATAGAATTAATGCCAAATTGACACCACTTTAACTGTCCTGGCTCAATGCTATGGAATCCTGGGAGTTGTATTTTTACAAAGTCTTTGGCCTTTTCTTCCAGAGTGTTGGTGCCTCACCAAACTACAAGTCCCACAATTCCATAGCATTGAGCCATGGCAGTTACAGTGGTGTCAAACTGTTTGTAAATGCACTGTCAGGGTCCTTCTACACAGGCCCAAAATCTGGAATTAATCCAGAGTAAATTGATACTTCCTAGTTTACTCTGGATTAATAAAACAACTTGAAATATCTGGACCTTACTGCAAGGTCCAGATCGTTCCAGGTGCACGAGGATTGACTTCCAGGGCTGCATTCTGTGATACCGGGGGTCAATCCTCATTGCCATCTCACTTCTTCAGGCTCTAAGAGCCCAAAGGCAGCATGGTACCCCTACCCTCCCAACCCAACCGAACCCAACAGGAAGTTTACAGAGGGGGAGGGGTCATGTTGAAAAATCCTGTGGTTTGGGGGTGATGTGGGGCCTCAATCCTGAGATGAACTGGGATATAAAATCCCAGTTCATCTTGGGATTTGGCCCTGTATTGAAGAGCCCTCAGTGTAGTTGCTATTGTGACTAACTGCTATCACATCAGCTTTTCGTTATAGCTACCCCATCAGTGAGAGCCCTCCAAAGCCCCTATTTATCAACGGCTCTGCATAGGTTTGCAAACACAAAGATGTTGGCCCCACATAATATATAAGATGGTCTTCCTCTTTTCTAATTGCCTTCAGATTGTTGTCTTTTCCAATGAACAGTATCATCTTGTGATAGTTGAAAGTATGATATATATGCATACACTCTTGCGTGCACACGAATATATATAGCTGTGCAAAAAAAATTTTTCTATTGATCTGTAATAATCCTGACATGCCTATACAAAAGGGAACTGAGAAATAATAAATTCTCAATAGCAGACTATCTAGCTGAGTACTGTCAACTCTGAAATCAAATTTCACGAGGCTTCTTTTCCTAGCCCTACCTGGAGATCCCCAAGTTATCTAGTAGCTGCTATATATCAAGCACCTAAGGACTAACTAAGCTTGACCCTCCTTCGCTTCCAAAGTCAGTTAAGATCAGGTGTTCAGGATGATGAAGTGGTAGTAGTTTTGAGCATTTTCTACACTTACATGCCTCTCCTCTGTGAATGAACCTGCCCAGGCCCTGAGATAATTAGGAGAGGCCCTTCTCTCGGTCCCACCTCCATCTCAAGCTCAGTTGGTGGGAAATAGAGAGTGGGCCTTCTTGGTGGCAGCCCCTCAACTCTGGAACTCCCTTCCCAGAGAAGCCATAATGGTCCCCTCCCTGCTGTCCTTCCAGACAGGATTTTAAACATTAAAGTGTTTAAGATCCAGTCAGGGGGGTACTGTGGTTTTAACTCTGACTATGCATTGAATATATTTGAATAGTTTTTTACTGTGCATTTTTAAAATACTGCTTATATTTAATGCTGTTTTAATATTTGTATATTTTAAATTGTGTGCTAATGCTTTTATGTTAAGCCACTTAGCATCCCCTTTGAGGGAGATAAACAGGGTGTAAATAAAATAAAATAATAATAATGTATAGCAAGGCTATGTCTGGAGCAAATTTAAAAAAAAACAAAACAAAACAAAAGTAAAGTTAAGCATATCCATAAGGCAGCTGTGTAAAATTGAATATTTGCTTTAACTCATTATTTGAATGCTGTTTTAATACAATTTCTGTGGGCGTCAAGAGAAAACTTGAGATGGTTTTAAACAATTGATTTTAAGTGGAGATAACTGATTTTAGTGTTTGTGGATATTTATAATATGTTTGCCATATATATATTGTGCTGTGCCCTGAGTCTCCCTCAGGGTGAGAAGGATGGAATATAAATGCTTTAAATAATAATAAAAATAATAAATAAATAAATAGAACACATCCTCAGCTGCTGCAAGAAGATCGTGCAGACAAACTACAAGCAGAGGCATAGCACCATTGTTCAGATAATTCATTGGAACTTGTGCCACAAATACCATTTCCCTGTGACAAAGAACTGGTGGGATCACAAGCCTGAAAAAGTTACAGAAAATGAACACGTCAAACTTCTCTGGGACTTCCGAATTCAGACTTACAGAGTTTTGGAGCACAATACTCCTGACCTCACGATTGTGTTAAAAAGCAAAGTATGGATTGTTGATGTTGTAATCCCAGGTAACAACAGGATTGAAGAGAAACAACTGGAAAAGCTGCCATGATACAGGGATTTAAAGATCAAACTGCAAAGACTCTGTCACAAGCAAGCAAAGGTGGTCCCAGTGGTGATCGGCACACTGGGTGCAGTACCCAAAGACCTTGGTCTGCACTTAAACACAATTGGTGCTAACAAAATTACCACCTGTCAACTGCAAAAGGCCACCCTACTGGGATCTGCACGCATTATTCGCCGATACATCACATAGTCCTAGACACTTGGGAAGTGTCCGACGTGTGATCCAATACAACAGCCAGCAGAGTGACCTTGTTTGCGGTGTACTAATCTTTTTGTGTTTCAAATAATAAATAAGTAAATAAATAAATACATAAATAAATAAATAAAACTCAGAATACTAAACTTCCATTGTAAATCTACTACATTGGTGAAACCACCCCACCCCACTCCACTAAAGCTGTAAAATCCAGCATTTGTCTTAGCAGGGTGTGTCTGTGTCTTAGAAGAAATCAGATATTTGGCAAATAGAACACAAAACAAACCTTATATTGCGTCACTACCTAAAGCAGATTACGCAGAGATTACCACTGTCAGTAGTATATTGCCGATTTACATCTAATGTATTTGTTGTCCATTAGAATTAAAACGGCTTATGTGGATGGACAGTGCTATGGCTCAAGTAGGTCATTCCTGAAAGCAACCATCACGCAGCAGGAAGAGGTGACTTGCGGGCTGCAAGCGCACTTTGTACTGCTGAGCTAGCAAAGGTTACAGCAACAATGGAAAACAATGTCAGCTCTTATCTCTGAGGCCTCTGCTCTATAATCCATTATTGGAAGTGGTGCACTGAGCATGGGATCTAGGCATATGGTCAGTCCCATAAAGGGAACAGTCAGGAAGGTCAGCAGACATATGGCAGAAAGGCCAAGAAGTCAACATGTCGAGAAGGCAACAAGCCAAGCTGCTGACAGGAGGGTAAGTGTCAACAGCTTTCTCAGAAAAGAGAATAATTGCCAGGCTTCTTAAAGGAGCAGGAGAAAGATTTTTGTTTTGGGTTTAAATTATTTCAAATTACAACCATGTCTGAGTATAGTTTTTGTCTGTATAAGCAGACAAAAATACTGTGCTTGAAATGCTCATATGTTTAAACAAAAAATAATCCCGTAAAATTTGAGTCGACTCATCCACAGGACAATGTGAGTACTATATTTTAATTCTTAATCAAAGTATTAACCGTCCCCTTCACTAAGTGGGAAAAGGCAAGAGCTTAGTCCATCTCAGGAGAAACTCAAAGCAGTACTGACCCCTCAGCTCTCTCCACTGCTTCTGGCTTTTTGACTGCTTGGATAGGGAAATGACAGCGGGAGCCAGGGGCAGCTAGCCCTCTGACTCGGCACTGGTGCTTTCCCCTCTCCAAAGAATGACCCTCGACTTATCCATGGGTCATATCAAATCTATCATTCGGGCCCCAAAACTCGACCTTGACTTAAACATGAGATAGACTTATACATGAGTACATACAGTACTATAAAAACAGGAAAACACTGTGGTCCTTTAAATATGAAGGCAAAGATCTCGAAGCCCATTGCTAAGCAACCAGATCCCCTCTCTCTCTAAACCACTCGGTACTTATCCTCCTGTCAGCTTTCTGGCTTATTGACTCTTTAGGGCTTATGGGTATCCAGCTTGATGGGATTCTACTACATCTGTAGCTCTCAAACCTTTGAAATGTCCTCTTACCTTTTAAATGGAATTTGAGCACGTTTCCTTATCCTATTAGCCGTAAAATGTTCATAATGATTGATAGGCTTTATAGGATAGATTTCAAATGTTTCACACATTATTTCAGGGATACATGAAGCAAACATGGTACCTGCACTGCATAATGAAGGTCGGACTTACTTTGCTCAAGCACAGAGGTTTGGAGAACTAGTCAGACCCACAAAAAAGAGTTGTCAACTCCAGACCCACAAAAGAGTTTGTGTGTCTTTTCAGGTTTCTGTAGAAAGGCTAACCAAAAAGCATTTTACTTTGGGTTACCATAGTTCGAAAACTAAAGAAGACTGCTAGACCGGATTGCTATGACAGATTCAGCTGGTTTGTTGTAACTGGCATGTTTAACTCAATTTTTCCATAACTGACATCTCACCCATGACCTGTATTGTTTTGCTGAGCTTTACCATCTCTACAAGGCTATAAATGTTGAAACTGCAATACTATGTGCCCAGAACTACCCAATCCACTGTTATGGCTACAGTAGCATACTCTGGGAATTACTTCATAAACAATAAACAATCTCTGGCCACATTTTGGTTACACAGATCTCCAATGATCATCATCATCACCATCATCATCATCATCTTTATTTATATTCCGCCCTATCTCCCTGGAGAGACTCAGGGCGGATTCCAAACATAAAAGGCAAACATTCAATGCCCAAGTACAACAACAATACATCCATAGTAACGAAATTTAACAACTCAACATATAAGCAGAAATTATGACTTAACAACTAAAAATTTAATTAAAAACGCAGCCTGTTATGCCAATAAGGATTACCATGTGCAGATTAGATAATGCGTTTGTGCATTTTGGTGTTTTCTGCATAGCTCTGAACTTCTATAAAATACTGATTCTGGGAATAAACTTATCTATCTTGTTCAAGTGCTGTGAGCAAACTGAACACGATGCAGTATTGAGTCCCAGTGGATTTTTTTGGACAAGGTTATGGTTTCTTGTCTCTTTGCCTTTCTGCTCAGTTTCAGGGCTCATCTAAGCTTTGTGTCCCATCTGGAAGGATATTGTGGGGTTGGTCTTTCAGTTGTTACAATATAATCTCTAGGCAGTTGTAAGAGACGCCATTGCTCCTTGATTGAGTCAGTCCAACCGACAAGACAGATTTCCCTTACAGCTGGACACCATCTCAGGCCTTTTCTACACTTCCATATAAAATCCAGTTTATCTGCCTTGATCTGGATTATGTGGCAGTGTAGTCTCATATATCCAGTTCAAAACAGAAAATATGGATTATCTGCTTTGATAATCTGGATTATATGGCAGTGTAGATCCCACCTCCACAAAGGTATTCAGTGTCTTTTTTCTTTCTTTCATCTTGACAGACCTTCCCTTAAGGTCAGAGAAAGATGGTGGCCTCAGAGATGATAACAGTGGTAGCAGCTCCAAACCAGCTGGACTGAGGCTGGCTGTGTTGGGGGCTTCCCTGACCTGCTTTATCTAGCATCTTCCTTTTCCAGGTTTTCAGAACTCTGCTACCTGATCCTCCTTTTCCTGATACTGAATACTTCAAAAGAGATTAAATGTATTTGGCATTGCAAACTACTCATTTGCAGGGCTGCAAAACAATGTATAAGTAAAAATGCATGACTACCTTGTGGTGCCCTGATCCCATTATCTAGAAGGCAAAAGCATTAAAATTTGAATGTTTAATGTTCAGCATAAATTTTAATTATATATTTCCATGTGGCACAATTAGTTCAGGTTCAGGACGGAAGATGAAAGTGGCTTCTGCTCCACTGAAAAGGTTTACAGGTTCAAGAGGATGCAGCTGGAATGCTGAATGGAGCTGGTTGCAGGGAGAACAGAAACACTTTATTATATTAAAAAAAACATCATTTGCTAGTAGGATGTTTCTGGGCACAATTCAATGTGCTGGTTATAAATATAAATGTTAACCAGTTTGGGAATGCAGAGATTATTGTAAACCCTCATCTCTTCTCAAGATCTGAGATCTTCAGAAGAAGTCTTTGTGTGGCTGACTGCCTTCACAGACCCTCTTAGGCCCCATGCACACTGCTATATGAAATCCAGATTATTTGCTTTGAACTGGATTATATGGCAGTGTAAACTCATATAATTCAGTTTAAAGCAGATAATGTGGATTATCTGCTTTGATAATATGGATTAGATGGCAGTGTAGACCTAGCCTCAGTGAGGGCCCTTCTATACAGGTCCTAAAATGCAGAAGGAATCAGGATAAAAAGAGAGGTGGCTAAATAATGTGTGCTGAAAATGTGGGCTGGATCACATTAATGACTAAAAAACACTTATTAAAGGGGTGCACTTAAAACCCAACTTTTGCCAAAAATGTGCATAGTCATATGCCTGTATATCTCTGCACTCAAGGAAAACATGTAATTTCATTCGTATACCTTGGTGTGGACTGCTCCAGTGCATGTGCACATTTTAAAATCCCTAAACAGCTGATACGGGCTGTAAATAAATGGAGCCACAGACACACAGGTGGCTAAATGGAAGTACAATTTGGAAAAAAAATCCCATGAGACTATCTGCTACCATTCCTTTATTCTGATGTTTATGAAATTAAATAGAGCTTTAATTTATACAGTGGGTACCAGCATGGGAGGCAAGTGATCCCAAAGGGAAATGGGGTTCACAAGGGGAAAAGTAAATGCAGGAGGAGAGTGAGGAGAGATAATGACAAGAAATCTGCTTGTGTTCACATTCAGATATCCGCACCAGTGATTTTGAAATCCAGGGCAATCTTAGAGAGTCAATTAAAAAAAATTAAAAGTAAACTTCCACCAGATGTCCCCCCCATTCATCTTGCAGATTTGTAAAATCTGCTACAAATGAAGGTATCAGAATGGTGGGAGAGCATTGACCAGCTCCATGTCTGGACTTGCTGTCAGGTACCACGATTTTTGCCTCATTTATTTATCCTGCATTTTGATGCTGTCTGGAAGTGCCCTGAGAATATGAGGAAAGGCATTCTTGGTGACTGTTCCTTGAGTGGCGAACTCCCTTCCATGACAGACCAGCCTGGCTCCCTCTTTGTTCTCCCTCCACCAGCAGGCGAAGATATACTTTTTCAGTCAAACTTTAGCCATTGACAGGTTGCTTGGAAAGATCTTTTTAATGGAGTTAAGATGCTGTATTTGTTTCTTTTCTGCTATGTTTTTAAATGCTTTTCCATTCAATGCTCCCCAACTGTCCCAATTTGACAGATATAGTCCTAATCAATGTTCTGTTTTCCTGTCCTTTTGATCTGCACTTAAATTGTTCATTTTTCTCTCTTCCCAACTTCTCTCTTTGTTCTCAGATCAACTGCTACAAATCATCAGAAGGCAAGAGAAGCATTGAAGACACCTGCAAACTATTTATACCTAAACAGCAGACTGAGGACCCTTCTACACTACAATATAATCCAAATTATCAAAATAGATAATCCACATTATGTGATTTGAACTGGATTATATGAGTCAACACTGCCATATAATCCACTAACCAATGCAAGTAAAAGTGTGTCAAGCCATCCTTTAAACAGAAAGGTGTTTTCCACTAGAAATGTTATGTCCATTTGAATGTTAGGATTAGCAAATATGTACCATGTTGGATTATATAATTCTGTGACACTCCTGGCAAAATCTCACTTTTAAAAGAACATTTGTGCTTCACTAAATGATTCTGGTTCCCTTCTGTAATTATAGATTCTTATCAAAATACATGTAATTTTAAATATGCTATAGAACAGTGTTTCTCAACCTGTGGATCGTGAGGGGGTGTCAGAGGTGTCACCAAAGACCATCGGAAAACACAGTATTTTCTGTTGTTCATGGGAATTCTGTATGGGAAGTTTGGCCCAATTCTATCGTTGGTGGGGTTCAGAATGCACTTTGATTGTAGGTGAACTATAAATCCCAGCAACTACAACTCCCAAATGTCAAAGTCTATTTTCCCCAACCTCCACCAGTGTTCACATCTGGGCATATTGAGTATTCGTGCCAAGTTTGGTCCAGATTCATCATTGTTTGAGTCCATAGTGCTCTCTGTGTGTAGGCGACTACAACACCAAAACTCAAGGTCAATGCCCAGCAAACCCGTTCAGTATTTTCACTTGATCACGGGAGATCTGGGTGCCAACATTGGTTCAATTCCATCATTGGTGGGGTTCAGAATGCTCTTTGATTGTAGGTTAACTATAAATCCCAGCAACTACAACTCCCAAATGACCAGTATTCAAATTTGGGTGTATCAAGTATTTGTGCCAAATTTGGTCCAGCGAATGGAAATACATCCTGGATATCAGATATTTACATTACAATTCATAATAGTAGCAAAACTACAGTTATGAAGTAGCAACGAAAATAATTTTATGGTAGGGGGTCACCACAACATGAGGATCTGTATTATGGGGTCACAGCATTAGGAAGGTCAAATACCACTGTTATAGAATATAAAATAATCTTACATTTTTAGTTTGAAAAGACGTGGCTTTTTAGAAAATGCTTTTCTTCTTTTACCCAGCAATCATGCAGGCAACATCTCATCTGATATAGAGATGCTTGACAAAAATGATACCAATTATGACTAATCATGTCAAAGAACGGCACTGGAGGAGGAGAAAAAATGCTGTCGTTCAAGCTCAAATTAATGTAGGAAGTGATTAGATAGCATAGTGAAATGGGGCCAACAATAAAGATCACAAAATGTCTGCCATTTGGCAACCCTGTGAGATGTTGGAGATAAAAGCATCAGTGGCTTAGTGTTATATTGCAATGGATGAGATTCCCTGAATTACTGAGCCAGAAATCCAGAAATCCGAAATGCTTCAAAATTGTCCACATTGGTGGCTGAAGTTTTTGTTTTCTTATGATTCAATGTAACAAATTTTGTTTCATGCACAAAATTATTAAAAATGTTGTGTGGAAAATTACCTTCAAGTTATGTATGAAAGGTGTATATGAAACAAATGCATTTTGTGTTAAGATTTGAGTCTATTGGTAAGATATTTCATTATGTAAATGTATATATAGTACGACTCCCATATCTTTGAAGGGTACATCCCTTCAAATTGGAAGTATAAAACTACCAATAATAGTAAATGAATTACTTCTGGTGAAGTACTTACTTACTTAGGCAATCCCTCGTTGTCTGAGTAAGATTGTCCTCCAAGTTTGGTGTCCTGGCAGACGGTCCGTAGGTGACTGTGGAGCCCTATTCTTGACCTGCATGTTCTCCCGCTGTGAGAGGATAGGTTTCCAGGTAGAAGGCGGTCCCAGTCGGGGTTGACTTGATGCACCTTCCTCTGGGCGCATTTTTCTCTTTCACCCTCCATTCATGCCTCTTCAAATTCTACAGCACTGCTGGTCACAGCTGATCTCCAGCTAGAGTGTTCAAGGGTCAGGGTTTTCCAGTTCTCAGAAGTCTATGCCACAGTTTTAAAGATTGGCTTTGAGCCCATCTTTAAATCTCTTTTCCTGTCCTCCAATATTCTGTTTTCCATTCTTGAATTCAGAGTAGAGTAACTGCTCTAGGAGATGGTGATCAGGCATTTGGACAACATGGTCGATCCAGCGGAGTTGATGGCAGGGGACCATCGCTTCAGTGCTGGTGGTCTTTGCTTCTTCCAGCAGCATTTTGGTGAAGGCATACCATAGAATCATGCTGGAGGACCAAGTATGTACACTTACTCTGTGTGACTCTATGGTCAACTTCTGGCAGAAGCATTCTGTAGAATCACAAAAAATATCCTAGAAAATGGCTAGAGAAAAAAAAACATATTTTTGGGACACAGGTTTATGAACCTGTGTTCCAGACCACCAATATGGGGACTGAAAAAATCCAAAATATAAAATACTTATGTTCCTAAGCATTTTGGATAAGATGTATGCAACCTGTACACATGTAGGAAATATAATAACTTTAATTATGTGAACAGTGATTGTGTAATTTATTTCAGTTTAAGAATGCGATTTTCCTGCTTCCTGGCAGGGGTTGGACTGGATGGCCAATGAGGTCTCTTCCAACTGTATGATTTTATGACTGTGAAGACAATTGGAAGGTCCTTAGTTCTTCAAATTGTTCTTTATTTTATTCAGGCATACCTGACTGTCTAAAGCTAAATCATACATTGCCTGATCATTAAGGTTTGAGTGGTGCAGCTCTACCCTGTTCCTACCATTGGGGGAAATATTCCGCATGGAAACATATGGTGGTAATGTCAATAAGATTCCTGTATTTTTTTTAAAGGCAGTCAGGTGTTGGTGATAAAAGTTTTTACATCTATACTGTTAGGGCCTCATCACAAAATCCTGTTTTACAGAGAAAGGAGAGGAGCAGCAGGGCGACTCTGTCATCCTGCATGCAACTTACACTCGTTGTCCCATTGCCCATCACTTAGGGGAAGTGTCACCTTCCCAACGAGGACCTGTGCTGTGGGGAAAGCTTCTGGTGACGCTTTCACCCCAGCTGGGGGCAGGGCCCCTGCCAGAAGTCACACGGTGTTGTGTGATGTCTGGAATGGGGCTCCATCCAGAAGACAGGGTGATAGCATCCTTGGATGCTAAAATCCTCCATCTGATGGGATCCTTACCCATATTCGTAAATTGGCATTTCACTTCATCCATTTCTATTGGCTTTACTGTACATGCTCAAGCCAGAATGCTTCACTATGTAGAAGTGGAGGTGGACATTGAGAACAAAGGAGAATCAAAAGGCTATTTGGTTAATCTAAAGATGTACATGACTTTTAGAAATAAAAAAGAACCTGTGGACACTCCAGTAGTGTCACTGGAATAAACTAATATCAAGAACACATGAAAGTAGTAGAAACATCCACTTACACTGATGTTGGAGTCCTATGTGGCTTTTCGAACTGATTTGAATTTGGATTAAAACAGGTGCATATGGCAATAAAGAAGTCAAATAGGGATAGGGATACTACAAAGTGGAGATAGGATATAAGGTTTTTGTAGATTCAGTTTAAAGGTCCATCTACACTGTAGATTTAATGCAGTTTGACACACTTTAAATGCCATGGCTCATTGCTATGGAATCATGGGAGCTGTAGTTTTACAAGGTCATTAGCCTTCTCTACCAAAGCGTTTTAGTGCCCCACCAAACTACAACTCCATGATTCCATAGTATTGAGCCAAGGCAATTACAGATTTGCCAAACTGCATTAATTCTACAGTTTAGGTGTTTCCTTAGTTACTGATGAAAAGGTTCCTGAGGTGAAAATGCAGGGATTGCAAAAACAGGAAGTCCCGTGAACTCATTTTAAGATATTAGTCATAAATCAAGGTGTACCTGGAATGCTTTAGTTAGTACTTACACATGAAATAATGAACTAACGAATATAAGTAGAATGTATTTCTAGGTGCAAAGATTACTGCAGATGCAGACTGTGGCCAGGAAATCAGAAGACGCTTACTTCTT